TAATAATTTGTGAACCGCTTTGAGACGACCTACGAACTAGGTTGTGATAAAGCGGTTTATAATATCCCCCAATATTATTATTATTATTATTATTATTTATTATTAAGAATTTTAATCTTTGTATGAGTTTTATACAAAGTAATGTGGAGCTACATACTCAATGTTTTACTGTGCCACCGTCTTATGATGACGAAATAAGGATAATCGATCTGATAATATTTATGTAATTATCTCATTTAAGACGAAAGGGAGTACAAGTAACCAGTCCGTCTTTGACAGATAAACAGTTATAGATCAAACGCTGATATAATACGGAAATGTTAAAGTAATTGATAGGACCGACTCATGATTTATTAGTAACAGGTGAGGTGGAAAATTTCAAACATTTGTTTTTAAGTTGGAGAGCGAAACATGTTGTAAGTAGAAGATTTGGATTTTATTTACTTTGAAAGCTTTGGTTTGTTTATGTTTTACGTCCTATTACAGCTGTGGTCATTAAAGGACGTGCCAGGTTTTGGTGGTGGAGGAAAGCCGGAGTTCTCAGTGAAAAACCACCGACCTACGACAAGTACATGGCAGCCAGTTCATGGCAACTGCCCAAAGTAGGTCTCGAACCCGCGACCCAGTAGTGGAGGGCTAGTGGTAGCAGAATGACAGACGCCCTAACCACTTGGCCACCGCGCCCACCACGTTAGACTTTCAAAGCAGCATCTTAAATCAACATTCAGATGTAATCGTATGTTTTTAGGTCGGTCCTGTATATTGCGTATTGGTATGCATAGCATACAATGAAAAGTGAACTTATTTATTGGAGTTAATACTGTGGTATAAAACCCGTCAATATCTAAAGAAAAAGATATTGTCACTTAATCCATATAATACATGACCAGGAAATTGAGAAACATAGAAATATGTAGGAGAAAGAGGTATCTCCTCATGGAAATATAAGTGGGATAAATTAGTAACGTCTAACATCTTTGATAATGTAATGTTTTACATTTCAGTATATATCATATTGATGATAATATTAAGAGTTAAAATCATTATTGAGGCAGCATTTAAACTGATTAGCATAAGTAAACTATATCTGGTCTCATTACAATTTGATAAAGTTGGTAATAACATGTTTGTCAGTAATGTTTCGTAAGAAAATGAAAGCAATTATTTCATTCCTGTGATGTTCTAGTTTAAACCAAATTGGAAATATAATCATTGTATCAAATATTGTGTTGTTATATTCTGTAACAAAAAGGATCTTACAAAATACATGAATAAGCCCCTCTCGTGTACATTTGACATCCAACAGGATGTCTCCTCTCTCGAACAAAAAGAAAATTGACCATCCCTCTAATACAGTAAGTACTGACAATTTGTACGGTTACACATAAACGAGATTTTGTATGTCATTGTTCATTTCTACCTACAAGGCCTCATTACAAAGAGCAGTGAAATGGCAATGACCACATCCAGATTTAAAAGGATCGAACGCAAAGTACATATGAAATACAAATAGCAGGCATTTGTACGAATAACTACAGCTACAATTGGAATTATCAAATATTGCAATAGAGAAACAGAATATAACGAACTGTAAACCATAAGTCGAAATAAAAATTGATAAAACGAGAGCAAAACATGAACAAAAGAAATATTCAAATACATTGTATAAGCATTTCAACTAGTACAATGAAGTGTTCTGGAGGGGAACGCGTCTTTCGCTTCTTCGGCTGCAAATGCCATGTACATCTAGGTCAAATCCAAGTAATGTCACGTCCACAAAGTGTGGACTAGGGTAGTGACAACGGAACAACAAGGCTTACCTAGGAGCATAATCATAAACATCGAGTTTCATATCACACGAAGACATGACACATTTCCCAATGAGATCATGATGGCGGCTATTAAACATACCAATAGTCTTCATCAGCCTTCGGCTCTGCAAAAGATGTGTTATCCGTCAGTATAGTCGACATCTACAATGGGATTACAGGAGTGATATTGTTAGAGCAAGCTCTTGAATTCTGTATCAATACGCAACAGGTGAACACCGTAGTGTGGGGGGCAGGGATATTATTATCAAGAAAGAGAAAGTTTACAATTGTAAAAATCGCAATCGTTTCGTTTATCGTACAGGTTAATCGTCCCTTTTTGTCACGTTGTATTGCTTTTTATTTACCTTATGATAATGTCTTGTAAACATTTAACTTGTAACTTCATTCTCCACTGTTGAATTTTTACATCTTATTCATCTTTTACAGTCCATAGTACATGTACCTGCAGTCACTGTAGTAACATTTAAAATATATTTAGACGATTCTTTCGGCTTTTGAATATAGTGACAATTTAGACGGGATCAACTGGTCGTTTAATCTGTTACAAATGTGTATCACAGTTATTGGGCAGGTCTTTTGAAAGCCTCTACGAGTTTCCTCTTTTGTAAAGTAATTGCTTCCTCTGTATGCATAGTCATATATACCCTCTATGTTGAGGAAATGTACAAACAAAACTCCTATATGGCGCTACAAACTCTTTACAACTTTTAACTACGACATATGCTTTGCGTTTGAACTATTATCACTGTACCCAAAACGAGACAGTACCCAAAAACGGGTCACTTGTGGCAAAACAGCTCAAACATCTGTCATGCAATGTAAAGTATTTTTATGTATGCAGTTTTCACTTACAAGACTCTTTAACAGTATGTAAGCTGTATTGGCTGCTGATTATCGCTGCATGGACGATTTAAGGGTAAGAAGAAATACCAAAGCAAAACTTTCTTGACTAACGTGACATGCGACGCTATTTGTTTGGATACTATTTTCAAAAGTCTATTTTATCAAAACTGACGCTAGTTTGGAGAAGAAGAACTCCCTTTGATATTGATAGTATGGTATAAAGTACACTGATATTTCTCTGAAAAGCGTCCCGTTTTGGGTACAGTGACGTTAGCCTTTCAAACAGGAAATGCTTTTCCTAATTAACAATCACTATATAATCACTTCAATCGCTTATACCCTCCTGGACTTGATATCATCAACGCTACATGCTATTCTTCATCAGCCCCTGACCTTGATCGTTGTTTACAACATGACCAACAAGGATGTCTAGCTAATACTTTTCTGTACAAAAGGCGTGATTATTTCGACATGTTCTGATCGTGAACGTTCCCTTTTTTGATAGTAACACTCTGCTCCCCCCATCTAATGTACATATATATTGCGATAGATTCGATAACAGTCCCAATATAATATTTGATAAATGTCGTCTGCTGAAAGACAGAGTTAAAACAAAAGATTTGGAGAGGTGCTCGGTGATGGATTCGTACTACAGTTTGCCGTCAATTACTGAGGGTGGTTTTCATGGAGAAATGTAATTTCATAGTAATAATAATGTCACTCAGTAAAGAAATTGTTCATGTTTATATCTCGGCAAACGAATTTGAAAAGTCAAAATAAACCACGTCATGTATTTCTCCTGCCCACACAACTCCAATGGTTTGGGGTGGATGTTGCGGTATCTGTGCTGTGGCATTCAAGTGAGGTGGCATTATAAATGATACCGTCGGAAGTACGGTCCCACTACAAACAGAACACAATACATATCCAGCACACGCGCAGGCATTCACACATAGGGAGATATTAGCCAGGTGGTATAGGACTAGTAGTTAGCGCCTGATAAGGCAGCTCCTGCGAATTCCACAAAATTGCATTGATTAATGTATATGTGACGGAGCCACTGGTTTGTCTTTGATGTCATAATTATGAGACAATGCACTGACTTCTATTTACAGTTTATTTATATCTATATACATATATACAGGTACATGTCAATAAGTTCACCGCAACACTTTCACTGCTCACATGTTGTCACCCAAACGTTCGAACCAAAACTCCCAATAGTTACGCCCTCTCTCGTGCACCTCACAAAACTAAACTCCCTTCTATCACACACACACCACCTGACCTGTCTCCACTGTAACACACACCACCCTTTGTTCTCATGACACTGGCCATTCTCATTCAACACTTCTCCCTAACGGTCCGAGCTTTAATTGACAACTCATAAGATCTCCATGACCAAATACTATGTCTCTACATTTAAATTGCACGCCTAATCTTAATCAAATAAACAACTACAGACTCTCCGCAGACACTCACTGATACGTACAGCTGCGGCCGACACAACTCACTACTTAAAGCACTGACCACTCTGACCCTTACTGGCCAACTCGACTCTCCTCCTACTCTCAAAGGTAACACCTTTTCACATATATGCTAATTGTATTCATTGTATTAAACTGTATATCTATGTACTGTAAAGCGCTTTAGGGTGGCTTGAGTAAGCTAGATAGGGCGCTATATCAAATGTTGTTTATTTATTTATTTAAGTTAATGCTTGTTTATCTAAATTGAAGTTCTGCCAGAAGACAAATATAAACAATACCAAAAGTAATGATGGTCAACAGGATTGAACGCAATGGGTCAATGTCATTTTGACGCTTCTCATTCCACCTCGATTGTATATTTAACTAGTTATAACTAATTATCGTAAGAAGCAAACATGTAAGTGACGTCAGGTGGTTTTAGAATACCGTTAACAATAAGAAACATCAACACTATCATAGGGCGTAAAAAACAGTTACAGAAAGCAAATTAGGATCAATTATAATGTGAAGCTATTAATAATAATATTGCATATGAAATTTGTTTAGCTGAAGGAAAAATTTTTAAGTTAATAGTAATGTGACGATAAAGAAGTTTTTGAAAACGTTTCCATTTTATATAAGATTGATGACACACGTCCTTGAAAATCTTAATTGTTAGCTTAACTAATATGAACGTCGTTAAAATGAAACCATCTGAATTTTTTTTGATAAATTTCCTTTTAATAACTATTTTAGATCCTCCATGTATGGCATTGTAATATGCATTGAGACGAAGGGTAGTTAGTCCCCCTTGATATAAACTGTCCCTCAGTAGACAGTCGATCCCCCCGCCGGGGGCCCCGATACACGATCCCCCTCACTTCCACACTGATGTAAAGTACCAGCAGCTAGTTGTATCGGTGAACGCTGTGTTCCGGATTTTAAACCTTTATCCTTCTCTTCTTTTAGATCTCCCAATTCTTTAGATAAAAAACACGTGCTCTAATTACTAGAGAATGTCGGAGTTGGATGTTTCCGAATTCGCCGATGGGGAGAGGGGAGTCGAGGAAAACACAAAACAGGCTGAAGGAGGAATGGCCCCAACCGTTTCTATTGAAGAGGTGGGGATTGTCCGACCGATCAAGGTAAGTATTTGATAAAATTTGATATATGATAAAAATTAGGAGTAAGCATATTTAATATTTTAAACTGCTGAAAAAGTCCTTAATGTTCGAATATAAAAGTTTCATCAGTTTAAATCAATTTAGCTGTTCGCGTAAGACGATGACGATATCTTGCTATTCTTAAGATGAACAAACGAAAGTTCATGGAGTAAGAAGGCGTAGGAGTAGTAATACACTTACGATCCTCCTCTAACTAAATCCGTTGTATCTAAATTAAGAAGAGGCGTGGCTATAGGCGATGTACTACATTATGCATGCACGTCATATTAAGAATAATTAAATTTCATAGAAAACCGTTAATGTCTAAACTATCTTCAAAGTTTTATTGGTTGTCAAAACGCGATCATTCGTAGATATTATTTCTTACATACTTTTAAATGTGTTAGAATTCCAGTAATATTCAAATGTTTATTTTATGCAAATAAGTTACTTTGCGCGGGCACTGATGTCACATCGGTCATAAATAAAAAGGTAAAGAAACTGGTTATGTCGAATATATCCATGTGCCTTTATTTGACAGGTATCAGAGGGAAAAGACTCTTTCTTTCTTGCCAGAATATGACAAATAATACCTTCTTATCAAATCTTTCTAAAATTGACTGCATATATCCATAAATAGCGAACCATAACCGTGTTGGACCCTGCTCAGTTACATAAAGCTTTGGTAACTTACACAATATTTAATTCATTTTTTTATTATCATTATTATTTCTTTACCTTTTAATAAAAATGCAATAATATCGTTATTTATTCTATCTTTCTAAGACCTATTAGTTCTATAAGCAATCAATTTTTAAGTCATGTTTTAACTTCTTGTAAATATCACGAATAGGAAAATATCATATTATAATTTTGCAAGCTAACCAAACTTTATGTAAGTTTACACATCGTGTGTAATCCGACACACGTGTATGAAAGCTACCGTGACCTTGATGAGTGTGTGTTATTGACATAGATTATTATTCCTAACGGCATATCACGTTATCTGGTTTCATGTTTATGCCCCCGGACCGTAACATTTATGTGCATATACATGGCTAAGCGATATACATCACGAGCTTGCATCATAATTATGTATCAGTAATATCATTTATGCACCTAGACATATGTATGAAAGTTGTAACACCTTGTCGATGGGGAAGGATCCAAGCTATCGATATCATGGGGTTTTTCATTTTCATTATCACAATACTCGCCGCTCCAGGAACGACCGGATAACAAACTTTTCACTCTTCACTTCTCTATTATCATAAACAACTATCTTGGACCCTTTACAGAACTTTTTGGAGCCTTGTTAGCTTCTAGAATCACTGATTATTTTCGTGGGTTAGAAATGGAAATACTTTATTTTTTTATTGAAATTATAATATGTTTCTAATTATTAACAAACAAAATTTTGCAGTAGAGTTTTATGATCAGAAAATTATTTAACTCAAGGTTGCGATTTCTTGTTCATTGTTGTTAGTTGAAATTATCAAGCGGTGTGCACTAAAAAAAGATCGTGGTTTGGTAATTAAAATTTCCTTCTCCAAAACAGGTTGCTAACAGGATTTCTAAATGTATGTTTTTTCTCTGAAATTCTGTGAAAATTATATAACAAATAAAATAAATCTGTGGTCCTTCGATTCTAATTTGAAGAAGCAATTAATGGTCTTCAAACTAAGCCCATAATTAGTTTTAAGTGACGTATTTTGATATATTGTTTCTTGAAAAATATTGAAAATGAAAAGTTCACGTTTATGGATTGCTAAGCTGACCATGCTTAAAACAATGTAAAGATTAAAAAGGATGATTAGCTTCATAACATCGCCATACATATTAATTTCCCCGTGACAATTTATGAATTAAAGAAAGGAATTCGTAAGTAATTTGTTTAGGGATTTGAATTAGAAATGAGAAAATAAGAAATGCGAAATATATTTGTGAATTAGAGAGAAAAAAATGGGCTAACTTTTTGAAAATTTCAGTTCACGACTCGTTAAGCTAACAATGCGGTGCTTGAGTCTAGAGGTAATCGCGCTAACATGTGTTGTGGCGTGGGTTTGCACACATGCAGGCATTTAGACGTACATTTACAAGGCGCACGCGGCGTTACGGTGTATAGGTATATATACATGTAGGTACAGACCGACATACGATATCATCTGTCATCGCACGCGCTGTATCATCTATTTAGCGTCACGAGCGCACGCGTGTTACATATGTACCAAGCCGGCACGTTTAACTCTGTAGAGGATGAGGGGGAAGATGTCAGCAACCCGGGTGTTTCGGTTTATAAATAGGCCTAGAGAATTGGTGATTTGTTGATGAATGTCGGATCATGAACCTTTTGTTCTCCTCAAAATGTACATGTTCCATTTTTGTGGATAGACAGTTGACGTACAGAAAAACAACCCCAATTTGTGACGACGTAGTTGTTCAGCATATATGTTTTGTGTGCTTTGCATTTATCAGTGAAATTGTAACAAAATAAATCGGGCATTTCATTGATAGGGAAATACATATTTAAAAGGCCGTCGCTATCACCACCCGAGTGTACAGAAATTTACGGGATCCCAAAGCTTACGACTTATGGTAGAACATAATGTATATTATGTTTGAACGTGAAATTCTTAAGTGTTACAAAATCTGTATTAAACTAAGAAAGTTTCTGGTCACAGTTTAGTAGCGCCTCCTACCTTTGTTCTGAGTATTGTTCCAAAACAGGGCTGTAGCATACAAAAGGATAAACTCATATGATTTTGTTTTTAAATTGAAATGCATATGTGGTTTCGTTGACTTTACCCTGGTTCTCTATTGGAGAACGTGACATTGCAAGGGGCATGGCCCTGATTTGCAAGACGCCGATCCTTCCAAAACATATTGCATATACATATTCTTTTCAATGATCCCCATATCAATATGTTTTTGTTCTTATTTTTCATAAGTTTGATCCATCAATTTTGAGCTACGGTTTTGTTAAATGTTTAGTATGCATTTCAATCGATAAACATTGGAGTGGTTGAGGCATTATTCTATATCAAACCAAATATCTATTAATAAAACAGATTCACTTTTGTGTCTGTTGAAAGCTAAAAAGCAAAGATTAATTATTTGACTTTAATCAACACAGTAGACCGACCGTCAATTAAACAAAACCCTGACAGTTTGAATTTTCCATTCATTAGCTCACCTGGTCCAAAGGACCAAGGTGAGCTTATGCCATACCGTGGCGTCCGTCGTCCGTCCGTCCGTCGTCCGTCCGTCGTCCGTCCGTCGTCCGTCGTCCGTCCGTCAACAATTTCTTTAAACGACTTCTTCTTCTTAACCGCTGATTGGAATTTAACTAAATTTAACTGGAAGCATCCTTAGGTGGTGGGGAATCAAAATTGTACAAATGGTGGGGCTGACCCCCCAGGGGGCTGAGGGGCGGGGCAAAAAGGGGGCAATTTGGCTATATTGCTTTAAGCGACTTCTTCTCTGGAACTAAGAGATGGATATCAACCATATTTGACTGGAAGCATCCCTAGGTGATGGTGATTCAAAATTGTACAAATGGTTGGGCTGACCCCCCAGGGGGCTGAGGGGCGGGGCCAAAAAGGGGGCAATTTGGCTAGATTGCTATAAACGACTTCTTCTGTAGAACTATGCACTGGATATCAATCATATTTAATCAAAAGCATTCATGGGA